ATCTCAGAGATTACCTAATTTTACCATACACAGAGTGATTTTCCTTGGTGTTAAAAGTACTACACTGTTGTTTGTATAACAGATTAGTTTGCTAAAAAAAAGAGAGAAAACTACTAATAGCAAAAAGGTTTACTCTTTATAAATATTACTGTTAAAGAATGTAATTTAATTCAGTGCTCTAATAAATTATTTTAAAATGTATTTTATTACCATAATTTATTAAACAATAAGGAGACATTTTGGCTGAAAATAGGGAGAACATCTCTATAGAACTGTATTTGGATAGTCGTTTTTTTTCCTGACACGGTAGATAATTAAGTATTATAAATTATGCTTACACTCTTAAGCATGTTAGCTGGAGAGTAGATCAGACTGTATGTTGTTCTTGGTGCCAGTTCAGGTCTTGATTTTCAAAAGTTCTTTCAGAGAAATGCATGATGAGTTTCTAGCAGCAAAGCAGAACTGTATTACTCACCTGAGAGATGTAGACAAAGACCTTGACACCTGTTTACATTTTTGAATGGAGTTTACTTCATATTTGTGAGGAAGTAATTATAGTCAGCTGTTTTGATGGCATCTCAGCCTTGTTTCTAGTGGTTAGATAATCTCATTTCAAGTTTGCTGCAAAAAATGTGATATTAATTTTTTAGTGGGGTCACTGGGTAGCTAAAATAAATCGCTTCTGATTTGGTTCTTCTGTAGGAATCTTGAAGTATGCTGATGGGGTAGCACAGCAACTTTCACAGATGTGGGTAAAAGAGCGTATGATATGCAATAAATGAGATACGGGTCTATTCCCGCAGGCTGCTTCATATATGCTTGTATCCTCTCACGATTCCTCACCAGCATGGGCAAGGTATTTTTCAACCTCTATCTCCCAGGTACTCTGTGGAGGAATTGCGCATCTGGTAGTATGGTAGGCCATACATAGTAAAGTAAAGGAGGCTGGTTCGGTTTCTTTAGATGCCCTGTCATAACCTACTTCTTTATCATGTACTCTGCAAAATAGTAGCAATAAAAACTGGTGGGTCTCTCTGTCTTCCCTCTGTATTGAAGTAGTTGATTCGTTAGGATGTAAGCAACCAACATGTGGTAGAATACACGTGGTAGAATCATTTGGTAGAATACCTAGTCCTGCTTTACTGAACTCTTGTTAACCTGAGTGCCTGGTTAAATGCCACTGGATTATATATTTGAGGTTATTACTGTTCAGATTATCCATGATAATAGACACAGATAATATGCTGAAATATTCCAGGAGTATGTCTGTGCAGGCAGATGCAGACTTGCTCTGCCCACACGCTGAGGAGGCTGTATGAGAGCCAGTTCCAGTTTGGAAGCCATCAGTGTGTTGACTGGCATTATTCCCAAGCTAAAACACATTGTTTCTTATATAAATGAAACTTTAAAGCTTCTGAACTAAAGCTGACTCACATTCGGGTGGCTTCAAGATTACTGGTAGTCTGAGTTTGCTTTCAGCGGTGAATCTATGTAGGTGTATTCATCATTCCACATTGCTGTGGAAGAACTTCAGTAGAAATCCCCATCCATGTATTCTTGTGCAGTGATCTCTCAACATGTGTAAGTTTAAGGCTTTGCAACTCCCCTTACATTTACTATAAAGATAAGAGATAAAAAAATACATTGACAATAATGTTGGGGTCCAGTTCAAACCTGTGTACGCACTGTGGGTTTGATTCAAATCTTTGAGTGCCTCAGTGGAGCACTTATGGAGTCATATGAGAGCAACTGTTTTATATGGCTATGAAGCATTATTTCCTGGAAGTGTTTGGTATGAATCATTATTTTGTGTAATTAAGCGTTTGGTTACTTATTTTCCCCAGTATTTCTCTAAGACAGGATAAGTGGTGTATTGAATGGAGTTGCCCTGTGAGCCGCAAGACAATAGATAAAAAAGATTTTGTTAACTTTCCCTTTCAAAAACATTCTCATAACTTGTGGTTGGCTTTCACAATCCCTCAACACCCTCAGCTGAGAAAAAGCATCCTAGGGTCTGCAAAATCTTGTGGTTTTGGGGCTGCAGAATCCAGGGTTTTTCAAAGCATGTTGATTGGCTGTCCTCTCCCATGGAGTGTTTTGTCTCATCTGCTACTTCAAAGTGGGGCTAGACTGTTGCACACTTGAAGAGTTATGACCACAAGAACCTGTGGTCATTTTGGTTAGCGGTGCAGAAAAAGATGGACGTGAGTGAATCCTGTTGTCAGATGTGGAAATGATACCAAATAATTCAGTAGTTTTGATTCTTCTACCACGCTAGTCAGGTTTGTGTTTTCACTGCCAGTTTTGAGGTAGTGAAATTCTAAACTTTGAAGGATAAGTAAAATTTCAGAATAGCTTTATGTAGTTTTCAATTTAAAACTTTTACTCTGTTTGTGGCTTTTTGCAGCTGCAATGCATGTTACACGTAATTGGATACACTATATATCATTAGAAACCTAGTAGATGGCAAGTATTTACTGTAAAATTTGCTACTAGATGAACAGACATATTGTGTTGAGTCTCGCTGGGATGGAGTTAACTTGCATAAATGAAGAATTAATGTAAATGTATGTTGAAACCTTGGAATTCCTGAGATGTAGATTATTTTTTTTTAACCTATTTTCATTCTGAGCGTGTTGGGTTTATGATGGTTATGTCAATGTTTATCTTCAGATATTAAATAAGTATATCTTTAGACTGATCATTATGGTATAAATAAAATCACATTTTGCTCTTAAAGTAGAGGTACCTACTTTACAGCACTGAGTTACTATGAGTTAAAGATTCAGATTTAATCCCACTAATGTTAATTGTAGACAGGGCTAATCTTTGTCCTACATATCCTGAAAACCAGAAAAACATCGTGAAATCTTTTTAAAATAATGCTCAAAATAGAAAAAAAAAAATTGCTTGATGCATGCTAAAAATTGGAAAAGGTTCCTTGGTGCAAACCACCAGAACATTGTCAAAACTTCTGATGGTTAGTCAGAATTTCATTTGTAATTTTAATACAGTCTTCTGTCAGATAATTGAAGAGAAGCTAATGTAATCTTATTTAATTTGAAAAAAAAAAAAAAAGATTTTATGTAATAATGCAATATGCTGTTTCTTTCGGTTTAAATTCACAGAATACCTGTTGCTGGCAGTTTCTGTCAGAAAGCTTATGTCATCACCCCTGAAAAAAGCCTCCTCCTTCTAGGGCTAGGATGCATGTACCAAAAAGTACAGACTTGTATGTAAAAGATACTGTGGAGAAAAAGCAGAAAATACATTTTTCTGTTTGAATCAGATGCTCAAATGACATCATATTTCCATTTTATACAGTGCATAAATTCTCTGCCTTCTGGAAGGTGAGAGGGATTGTTGAACACAGTAGCAGATCATTGCATTAAAAAAATAAGATTTTAATGAGAATGTTATGGAATTGATATGGTATTTGAGCACAACACATAAAAACACTGCGTCTTTTATAAATGCAGCAAGTTTTATGCATTATGAAGTGTATAGAAAACAATATACCTGTATCTCATTTCAAATTAGCATTATAGGTGTGTGACCTTCTGCTATGTTTTTTTCCTTAATACCTGTTATTTGAAATAATTAATAGCTTTCATTTAAATTAAGACTGTTGGAGACTTATGGCATCCTCTTTTAAACATCATTTAACTGTGATTAGAATGAAGACAGAATAATAAATGAGGCTATTTAAGTGTATGAATAAAATGCAACTGTTTATCTAAAATTGATCCACGTCTCATAACTTTGAGAGTAAAATAAATGGGTTGTTTTTCTTTGACTCCATCAGAAATATTGTCCTATAAATATTTACATTAATACATTAGGAACTTTGAAAAAAAAGTGAAATAGCTTTCTTGACATTTTTGCTGGCAAGCAAAGGACTATGAGAATTCCAAACTCCTAGCTCACCTTGACTGTATGAAGTTCATGAGCCGTATTCTTACATTTATTAGCAGCTGGAGCCTAAAGTTAATTTATGACTCATTTATCCATGTTTATTTTTTAATGATTGATCTTACATAGTTCTGGAAAAAGGCATAGGCCGTAACATATTCTGTTCTAAAAGCTATTAAGTATGATATGCTTTTTTCTTGGCTGATAAGTCATAGTCTGTCATTGAATGCATTGCAGAAGATGAATATATTTCTTTTATTGAGTAGAATAAGGGACAGATTATGTCCTTGCCAGCGGGAGCATTTAGAGTATAAGAAATAATAAGATACTGCAAAATCTGTGCTTCCAACTGCATAGTGTAAAAATTACCTTTGTTCTATGTCCACACAAACTATTTATGATATGTGCTGCTAACTTCTAAAAGTGCTGTAAGTTTCTGCTTGCTTTATTTTCAAGATTCCAAAGGAAAAGATTTCCCATGAACAATTAGATCAAGGAACTTACTTTGTAGATGTTATATTTTACTTCTGGCATTATAGTTATGTGGTGATACAATGAATAATAACAGTAAATCCATAGGAAAACATTTAAGTAAACATGAGAGAGATGTCTAGAGGTTTCCGTACTGAGGTCTCTAGAGTACAAAATTAATGGCAAAAAAAAAATGGCAAAAAAAAGTTTTATCTGTGTTGCTTTTTCTTATAATTATTCAATCTGTACGATTTGAATAATTTGCATCATATTTATGTAAGATATTCTGGAATTCAGGAAAGTGAATTGAAAAACATAAGTAGCAGATTTTTAAAAGCAAGACATTTCACAGAAATATTCTTAGCTATCATATTGTAGTAAAAGAGATGGAGATAAATGTTTTATGAAATAGTTGCAGAATGAAAAATCTATAAAGATAACATTTTTAGCTAATCAGTTTATTTCATGATTTGATTAGACTTGACAGTGCTTGCTATTTAAAGTGTTCAGAAGGTCGTTGATTGTTCCTCTAGCAGTTAAACATCTCAAGTTGTATGAGGTAGCAGTATATGTTCTGCTTTGATGAGAATATAATGATTTTTGTTTTATTTAATCAGACAGGAAGCTTTGCTTGCTGCAATTAGTGAAAAAGATGCAAACATTGCCTTGCTTGAACTGTCTGCTTCAAAGAAAAAGAAGACTCAAGAGGAAGTAATGGCTCTTAAACGAGAGAAGGACAGATTAGTACATCAGTTAAAACAGCAGGTGGGGAGACATTAATTTCCATATTTTCATGGCAATAGAAAATTGGCATTATTTTCATTGTTACTATTTTATTCTAACCTCATATTGAAAGTCTTCAAGCCAGGTCTGACATGTGACACCAGTTATGAAAGGTAGGAGGTGTTCAGTGTGTTTATTGCTTCTTTATGGTTGTTAATTATTTTGCTGCATGTTTGCTTGGCTCATACGCGGCCAGTGCACTTTCTGTTTTCCGTCCTCATGCAGCTTCCAATCTTCATTGCAAGAGACAGAGGACAGCACATGCTCTTTGCCATAAAGCAAGATCTAGCCACTCTGTCGACTTTTTCTAACCTTCTCTTCAGTTATTTGCTTATCTATTGTAAAGTAATTGTGTTTTCAGAAGGTTTCAGGCTTTCTGAGAGGTTATCTGGAAATCATGATTATCCTAAAACTCTCAAATGAGTAAAAATCACTGTGTCTTCAGCACTCTAAGTTATTTGAGGTTTTGATTAAAAAAAAAAAAAGTTACAAATTCTAGAAATAGATTTTGTCATAAGCAAATTTATGTTCTGCTGTATTAATGAGGAAAATAACCATACTAGACATAACACGCAGGTACCAGACACAGTATATAGTTCTTTTCTCTGTCTAAATAAAATGCTTAACTCTGCATACTGTGCAGTGGCTACTCCCCCTGATTTTTAAAAGGTAATAGTCATAGCCAGAAGAGGTAATGTAGGCAAGAAGACAGAGGATGTTCAGATAACCTAGGTACTAAAGACCTGTGCTGTGTGTCATGTATGTTGTTAAGCACCTTTCCCGTTTCAGAATAGGTCAAAAAAATGAAAAAGCTTTTATCAGACCATGTCTGAAGATGTTGTGTCTGATGTTTTCTTTCGTGTGACATTACTGAATTCTGTGATTGTTGCTTGAGGAGGAGAATACCATTGTTAAGATCATTCTGATCTCCCAAGCCCGCCAGAGTAACTGCTCTGCTGTCAGGCAGTCTGCCACTTTACAAATGATCATGCCATTTCAATAATGCTTGGACGTACTGCATAGTAAGTGCTATGATTATTCTGAATCATGCATTGCTTACTGCAGAACTCCATACATTAAATAACAGAAAGTTAAGGAAAACCCTTGCTGTTAGGCTGAATTCCCAATAGCTCTGACCTCATGCATCTAATCATAGCTTTTTCCCACAGGTCTGTAAAAATAGGAAACAGCCCCTGAGCATGAACTTACCCACTTGTGATGTTGACTTCAGTACAGACATTCCAACCAAGTACCTGTGTTCCAGCCATGATGCATTCATGTCAGCTGGCCAGGAGACATTTCACCCAAATTTATATGCTAGATAGGCAGACATACTTCATGATTTTTAGTACTTCATCTCACTGTGCTACATCAGAGCAGATGATGCTATGTTCCAAAGAATTTTGGGGATCTTTTTCTATTAGCTTGCTTTGGAAAACAGAAGGCAGTTATTTTCTCTTTTAGATTGTCTCATTTTTTTCATCTTTATCTTTTGTTACTGAAGAGTAAATGAATACACCACTTTGCCATGTTCCATGGTACCTGTCCTGGATGTTTTTTAATTGTTAATTAGAGATGTGGGAGATTGTTTTTTTGTTGGTGGTGGTTTTGTTTGTTTGTACCTTTAGACTCTTGATGAAAAGTCGTAACTTTCTTCAGGCAGAGTGAAGGAATAGTAGAAGAGAATTGCTGGAGAGGCATTGTTTTGGATAACTTCAGTTAGAACTGTAACCAAATACTTCAAATACCTCCATTATTTATAACAATAAAGATCTTCAGTAAAGCTATTTAACTAGATTAAATTGACGCCAAAATAATCTCCCTGTTATCTCAGACACCACCAAAAAAACAAAAAGACACCAGGAACAGGAATGTGGTTTAACTAGGTCACCGCTTTATTACACTTAAGAATTATCTGATAATAGAGGCTGTAGAGATCATTCATACTTCTTTAATCCCTTTGGGAAGAAAACTGTGAGCCCCCCAAAGCTCTAACGTGTGCACCCAAAACAAAGGCTTGTTAGTGCTGCTCTTCCTCGCTATGACTATGCCAGGCCAGGGGAGAAGTGAAGTATTCCACACTCTGTGATATATACACCCAGTTCCTCAGTTTGCCTTATTGTCCCATTGCCCATTTCCACAGTTCTTCTGACAGAAAGAAGAAAAGAAAGCTGAACTTCTCCAGCCTAATGTGATCATGAAGGGAGAGATATTTATAAACATCAGAAGATGACTTACTAGATAATGCTAAATATTAGGTCTCCAAATCTACTCCTGTTCTCAACTGCAGGAAGAATTACTGCTTTGAGAGACAAAGTAACAGGGTGGGCAGTGATATATATTCCTTCATGTAGATCCGTAATAGCAGATGGATTTTTGATGCATCTACCTGTCCAATCAAACAAAGCCTAATGTTCATGGCTACAGGAGGGTGAGAACTTACCAAGGCAGTAAGGCAAAGGATGAGAGACGACCTTAGGGAATCTAAGTTGTTTCTTGTTGTGTTGCTCCTTTTCTTGCTCCTCCTCACAAAGGTTCTCTGTCTTTCTGTTACTGATGGGAAAGCTAGACTGCATATGAAACACTGTGGCTGAAAATCTTATTAGCAGAGCATTAGTAGGTGTATGCTTTCCCTGTTCCACAAAGAGACATCAGCTGGTAAATGTGTTGCAGACAAGCTCATTTCTCCTTCAGCAGCTGCAATTCAGATATTTCTTCTGATATATCCTGGAGGAAGTCTCATTCTTGATTTGGACATCAAATAATGCGTATCCTGTACATCAAAAAAATAGTGTTGTACCTGTTCTGTGTCATTATAAAATTGCTACTGTTACAGGTATCATCTTCATGAAATGTAAACATGTTTTGTGCTGTGTTTCAGAAGAAAGTTCTACTCCCCTTATTTTTCTGTCTCCCTTTTACAATTCCTACTTCAAATTTTGCTGTTCTTTTTAGAAACAGACTGATTTCCCAGGCTGTGTAAAGCAGCAGTTAATATGGATTATGTCTTAAATCATGTAGCCAAGCCATTGGGAAATCATTTTAAATTATTTTAGAGGGCTAACTGAAGTTAGAAATTTGCTTGGACATAATTTCACTTTTCCTGGAAACCTACATGCACTGTTGTAGCGTCAAAGCTCATATAGAAACAAAGTCCTACCATTTATTTGGATAATCTTGTCACATTTTCCTCATTATACTGCAGAGTTTATGTTGTGATGCTGCAATTGGTCTTCTAATTGCATCTGCTCTCCTTATCTCCTCCATGTCTCCCAAGAACATCTTGTATATCAGACTTGTCATTTTAGTAAACGAGTAATAACTTGAAATTAGCCTAAAGTGATGAAGAGCTTTGCTATTTGAAATAGAAAATATTATTTCAGTCAAGTTTTATTTTGTGATCTTTATAGACAGGTGAATCACTTTGTCCTAAATTGGCTGTTATGAAACTTCAACCCCTGTACTGCATCAGCTTACATTTGATTGATTTGCTTTTGCCTTTTGTTTGCATACTGGGGAGTTTCTTTCTCTCTCAGAAACTCTCTGAGCCTCTGTTTCTGCTGCTGTCTCTTTCAGTGGCATCCTAGATTTTGTCATATAGTTGATAAATTCAAATTCAGTATTTCTAGTAATTTCAGATCGTGCTCTACTATATACTGATCATTGAAATGGATAATACCTGAAATAATGCAAAATTATACTCCAAGCCTAGCATGCTGATTTGCTATTGCTATTGAAGCAGTGACTTCAGTGTCTAAGGTGTAGGATCACTGTAGCTTGGAAAGTCCTCTGCTGATACAAGAAAGTAAGTACGAAGAGCTTTTTTTGAGGGAGCTACAAAGGCTGCTTTTTGGTAAAGAGCGGGAAGGAGAGGTATGTATGTGAATTCATCGGAATACAAGATTTCTGATTGTATACGTGAAATGCCCGGGAATATCGTCTTTGAAGCATAAAGAAGGGAACTCACTGTCTTCTTCTGGAAAATCCTGTGGATGAAAGTAAATTTCCTAGAGTCAAAATGTTTTTTTCATACAAAAAAAAAAGTGAACGCTCCTCCTTACTATTTCTGTGAGCGGAAGAGTGTCAGCTACTGCTCTTTCACCTAACTCTGATGAGGCCAGTGAGGGTCACAGTCTAAGGGAAAAGGTTATGGAGTTTTAATGGATATACTTTGTAACACTTACAGGTGCCTACCTCATTGGAAAATCAAAATGTTTGCAAATTCATCTATTGCTACTCAGAATGCTGCATAAGAACTGTGGTGGCTCCTGCCCTCTAAGGTCATTTTAAGCATCAAAAGCCTGCTTCGTATTAAAAGAGATAGGGCACAGTATGCAGTAGATGTCTTAAAGGTTCAGGAGGTCAATTCTATTAAACTCAGTAGAGTAACCCAAAGTATTGAGGTTACTCATAGAATTTTATTGTTATTGGATTAAGGCCAGAAAAACAGATTCTATCACTATGCTGTAATGTATTGCAGACTTGTGCTGAGATTGAGTTGGCTAAATGCAAATGTTGCTGTTCTTACTACAGACTTACACTGTGAAAAAGTTCTCTCATCACTCTGGTAGACTCCTGTAGCATTCTGGTGTGTTTTTTTGTTTTAAATGGAAGCTTTTTGACTCTCCATGAGCTTCCGTAAGGTTTCTTCAGAAGAATATTAACATTGTCCCACAGTCAATGAGCATGAGAGGAAGGAAAGTACTAAGAGCTTTCAGTATCTGGGAGTAACAGGCTGTTGTCTAAAACAGGCACCATTCTGGCAAAGATGAAACAAATACAGTGTTCTGTCTGCTTAGGCATAAACCTTCATCTTAGTATATCCATGTCATAAATTTGATGTTATTCTGTCTTTTATTTCTAATGTGGCTTGTCTTACAACAGTGAAGTCAGTTATCACTCAGTTTGGAAGCAAAGTATTTACTTCCCAAATGCCCCCCCCCCCCCCCCCCCCGGGAGACACCTGTGCTTCCTTTTCTTTT